TCGCTTAAACCTGGGAGGTGGAGGGTGCAGGGAGCTCAGATTGCACCACTGCACTCCAGCCTGGGTAAGACAGAGTGAGACTCCATTTCAAAAAAAAAGAGAGAGAGATACTAAGAGATTCTGATAGTTCTTCCTCAGAGAAGAAAAGGGCTTATCATGAAGTAGATGAATTGAAAATATTTTAGATAAGATAGACTAGTGCCAAGTGGGAAAAGAGTGTAATTGAGAGAACTGTTAGTTTACTTTGGTTCCCTAGAAACATTGGGCTCTAAAATTCAGACTATCATAAAACTGTATAGTCCTTTCAGGGTAAGAACTATGGATTTCTTGCATCTCCACTGTGATGTGAATGCTGAAAAGTTCCTTTTCTAATGATACCATTCCAATGTTGAGACTGAGTGAAACAAAGAAAGATTAGCAAATTCTATCTCTTTGAAAGGAAAGGGATCATGGAAGTAACATTTCCAGGGCTTTTTAAAAATGAAATTCAATACACAAATTATGACATTCTTTCCATAATGTACCCAAAGTCCAGTGACTAAGAATCTAAACAAGTTTTATGATGTAAACTAATTCAAACAAATTGGTCCTGAACAAATATGCTATTCCTTGGGGTTTGATCAAACTCAAGAAAAGAGTAAATAAAAATATACTTTATAAAATTGGGCATTATACATAAAAGGGAGGTATCTAATCAATTATAGGTAAAGAATATAAAGGTAAATAACAGATGCATTGAGCACTGATGAAGAACATGAATTTTGGCAATGTGGTTTTGCTACATTACAGATGTTTGATTTGAAACACGTTGCTTAAACTTTTTAAGCCTCAGTTACCTCATATGGGGAACAGAGATAAAAATATTTAACATGCTATATTGCTGCATGAGAAAATGAGATGTATATAAAGATTTAAGTACAGTATGTGGTGGGTACTGAATAACTGGTGGGTAATGGTTGTCACTATTCTAAGCTAAAGTGGTCAAAAGTGAAATTCACATCCTTCTGAGAATAAGGAGCCAAGGGACATACACAGAGGAGCATGGTTCAGTTCCTGAAGCCTCAGCGCTCACGTAGACTTAGAATTATTTCTCAAACAATTTCATGGTCTCTTGATTTTTCTAACAAAAGAAAAACTAAATCACTGCACAGAAATTTATACAGTGATAAATCCTTACTATTCCACAATAAGATTCATTGTGGTTTATGCATAGTATCCAAATTCTTCACATGGCTCGCGGCTCTAATTTTTAGTATCAGATTTACATACCATGGTGGCTATTCCCCAAACCACCACAGAGACGGTTTCAGACTTAGAACCCGTGACCTTATTAAGGGTATAGAGTAATTTACCATCAATGCCAGTTTGTAATTACAATCATCTTTTGCTGAAATGTATATACCTAAGAGGTCTTAATGTTTATCAAGGAATATTCCCTAGAATAGCAAAGGTAGCACATTCTTTGAGAGATCAAATCTGTGACGTTACGCCTTATCTTCTCCTAAGTGATCAGAACATATCCTCAATGCTTCTTGTTTTTGATTAAAAGATAACTACAGGAAAAAAAAAAACAAGTGTCATAATTTCAAAACAAATGCTATAATCAGACTTCTCACACAAAATCCTATACGGATATTTCCCTTCCAGCAGCTCTCTTGTGTGGCTTTCCTACTCGGGGTGACTGAGAGGTCTAAAATCCTTCCATCTAGTGGCTTAGCTGTCCTGTAGGGCCTCAAAGGCTTCCTCTGGGTCCTCTCTACCCAGCCTATGGTGAAGAGAGGCGAGGAGAAGGGAGAAGAAAGGGGGGAAAGAAAGGCAAGTAAAGGATTGTATGATAATTTTAGGACCATACCTGGAAGTAGCCCGAAGCACCCCTGCCTGTATTGCATTGGGTAGAGCCAAGTCTCAGGCCATGCCTAACTTCAAGAGAATTTGAAAAAATATAGTTAACTGTGTCCAAAAGGAAAATAAAATAGTTTTTTGAATGTCCAGCACTGTTTCTCACCCAGTGCTTCTCCGGTTGGGTACAAGAATTGTTGAGTTCTTAGATTTTGTTTTGTTTTGGGTTTTAGACAGTACTTTTGTTTTTTTTTAAAAACGGATGCCTTTTATATGAATATGTACATGTATGTTTGTCTGTATGTATGTACATACAGTGACTGGAACTCTGAGAAGCAAGCTGAATTAACTCTTTGCCATTTATTTATCCCCTTCTTCAATACTCCCTCCCAAGAAACCAAGGCTCTCAGATTTGAGAGAAGTTTGGGAAGATATAAGGATAATCTCCAACCAAGGAAAATATATCAGAAACTGTGGTGTACATCGGTAAGAGATACAGTCTTGAAAAGGAGGCCTCTAAGTCACAACCAAGTCACTCAAACATTATTAGGATGGACCGAAAAGAAACTTCTCAGAATTTCCACGCAATTGGTCTACAAACATACACTTTAACAAATCTCTGTCAAAACAAGATTTTTTTTTTCTGTACTTATCCTTTGATATTGATATTTCTGCATTATTCCCTGTTATATTCTGTTCTTAGGCAATGAGTCTACACCATGTGATGGAATAATTTCTGGAACAATTGCTAAAACCTAATCTCTGCATATGTCTCTGTAAGCTTTCAGGACAAGTAGAGCTCCAGGAACACTCAGAATATGGCCACTTTCCCAAATGCCATGGCAGAGAATAAGAGAACTTGAAGGTGGAAGACTTAGAGGCTTAATAGTACCTTTCCTACAGTCCACCTTATGAGGGTTCTGTGGGGGCTTACCTCACACACAGACACACAGACATACAATTCCACTTACCTGGTGTCTTTAACTCATCTAATAATATGGCACTGAGTATCAGTGAATATCACATATAAAATGAAGAGTTGGAAATCTTACTTTGTCCAAATTACTTTTAGGTTTCAGATGTATCAAGGATAAATAGAAACTATTAAAAACATACTTGGGAGAGAATGAAGACCAGGTTTTAATCACTCTCTCCATACTGGACAAAAACTTGTTTACTTGATCAAACATTTTCTAATTAGTGATTTGTAAAGCCTCTTAGACTTAGAAATTGATTTGCTACTTATTTTATTATATTATTCTTGACTTATTGAAATAATATTCAATTATAAAAGTTATGAAAGCATCAATTATAATTATGAAGAGGGGTATAAAGTTATTCACAAAATATACACCTAATATAATGTTGTAAGTTTAACAACTGGATCAGACTTGAACTTGTTATTTAATCGTTCAACTGTGGTATATATAAGTCAAGCTTCAGTCTTTTCAAAATTCAAAATCAAATAAATTAGGGAGATGTGAAGCTTGACTTTCTGATGTTAAAACTGAATCCGTTCATTGGAGGTGAAGTACATTTGAGATTACTTCTTAAACGTTTGGAATAAGGTGAACTCGTTTCACATGAAGAGAACTCAGCTCCGGAAAATGAACTATTTATCCAAAAACTCAAGGACCAAAGGATGCTATCAAAGCCTAGTTTTCTCTCAGCTCAAAACCAGATGCTCACGTGTAGATTGTTTACACAAGCTCTGATAATTGGGCTCTTCCCCACTGTTGAAACAAATTAGTAGTTTGTCCATTGACTCGGTAAACATTTACCGAGTACTATGATTTGCCAGACAGGGTGTTAAGTGTCAGAAATACAGAGAATAAATAGAATGCTATAAAAGCCAAAAGGCAGAGGTGCAAATGGAGATGAAGTGGCCATAAAGCCTATTTTGAGGTTTTTGGATTTCAATCCATATTTGACTATAAGCCAAATAATCAGGAATTCCAATCTTGACCTCTCTCTCTATGCTATACTGGTCTGGGAGAATTCTCAGGCAAAACTAGCTCTTTCTTAGAGCTTTAAGATGTGGCAATAGTGGAATTTCCCAGCACCCCTGAGTTCATAAACAGACCTCCCCAAGTCACTTAACGTCTCAGATGTTTTCAATGGCTCCCTGTCAAGACTGAAGTCCAAACTCAACGGCATGGTTTTGAAAACGCCTAATGATCTCACCTTAAACTAGTCTCAGAATAAAACAATTCATAGCCCCATCTTCATTTCTGAAATAGTCCTCACATCTTATAGTCTCTCTTTGCTTACTGTCTTTCAATCTGAAACACCTTTCCATATTTTTTTACTTATTGCTGTGATCTGAATGATTGTGTCCCCCATTCTCACCCTGCCAAATCTGTATGTTGAAAGCTAACCCTCAAGGTAATGATAGTAAGTGGTGGGGTTTTGGGGAAGATATTAAATCATCACTGTCTCTCCTCATGAATGGGATTAGTGCTGTCGTAAAAGAGGCCTCGAAGACCTGCTATGCCTTTTTCACTGTGTGAGGACAAAATGAGAAGGTGCCACTTATGAGAAAGCTGGTGCTCATCAGACATAAAATCTGCTGGTGCCTCGATCTAAGACTTTTCAGCCTCTAGGGCCATGAGAATTTCTGTTGTTTATAAACCACCCAGTTTATAGTATTTTGTTATGGCAGTCCTACTGGACTAAGACTTATTAATAGCCTAGCTGATCTTTATTTCTCACCTCAGAATATTTCAGAAAAGTTTCTTATTCCTTTCCAGTCAGAAACGTCTTCCTCCCTACTTCTGTGACAAACTGACATCTGTTACCTTGTGCAGTAGTTAGTTGTTTTCATGTCTGTTTCCCTTCCTCATAACTGAGGACAGGGAAATGCATTGTTGTACCTCAGTGTCTACCACTGTGCCTATTGCAGTGTTTGTGCAAGGTATGTGCTCAATATAAGCACATCAATTTTAATTGTTCTGTGTTTTCCTTCTCTAGATTCAGTACTGAAACTTTCCAGAAGAAGGTCAGTTCAAGTCCTGCCTACCATTTAGCTACCATTTTTCTTCAAGTGACCTCCAGACTTCTTCCACATTTCTCCTTCAAACTTCGCTCTTCTCTGTCCACCCACCAAACCAACCTAACAGCTTCCGATCACAGAAGTTGCATCCATCTACCTTATCTCTTCCTCATATTCTTACTCAAGCCCATACAAGGCACATAACATCAATGTAAGAATCCAGCTAGTATAAGATAATAAAAAGTGTATGGGCCTAACCAGCGACATTATTCCCATAGGAAAGAAAACAGGTTATACTTTTTATTTATTTATTTATTTATTTTTGACACGGAGTTTCGCTCTTGTTACCCAGGCTGGAGTGCAATGGCACGATCTCGGCTCACCGCAACCTCCGCCTCCTGGGTTCAGGCAATTCTCGTGCCTCAGCCTCCTGAGTAGCTGGGATTACAGGCACGCACCACCATGCCCAGCTAATTTTTTGTAGTTTTTAGTAGAGACGGGGTTTCACCATGTTGACCAGGATAGTCTTGATCTCTTGACCTCGTGATCCACCCGCCTCGGCCTCCCAAAGTGCTGGGGTTACAGGCGTGAGCCACCGCGCCCGGCCCCAGTTATACTTTTTAAATTGTCAGAGCACTGCAGGCTGCCAGTTATAATGGTACCACGACAACACAAGGCAAGATACTATCCTGACAATTCACTGAATTTCTCCATTCTCTACCCATTTGTTTTCATTTTTCCTCTATCTGGAGCACTTCCAGATTTATCTATTAAGCCCCTCTCTTCGTCAAAGCCTGGAGCCAATGTTACTTCCTCCTTGAAATGTCTCCAACCCTCCAGATAAAATTTATATTTTTTCCCATCTTCCTGTTGCACCTTTTAACAATCTAGTGTACCACTCATCACATCAGCCTTGTCTTATTCATGTTGTCATTGTCTACCTCACCCAGCACAGAACCTTGCACACATAAACCCTTGAAATCAACTGTTAAATTAAATGCACACCTCTCGTATACCTCCTCTGAATAGTAGCAACCAGGTTCTTGGCCTAAATTCCACAAGGCTGGTTTCTGAAAAGCAAATTGTGGATGGGAAAAATCTATGTTATAAATGACTAAGTAATGGTTCCTGGCTCAACAAGAAGAACAATGGCAATATCAAGGTCAGAAAATCTTATCTTTGACAACAGATGACTCCTACCATATTGCCTTTGACATGGGCACTGTAACCAATGTGTCTATATACTATTTCAAACTCTCCAAGAGAACAGAGAGGCATTATAATTGATGAAAACACTCCTGATATTGGACTTATTTACAGTTTTTGGAGAAGAGAAAGGCAGTTTGATGAGTGTGCTGTTAAAACTCTAGGAACTTGGCAGCAGTCAGTGTACAGGAATTCCCCCAGCTCTGCATTTTTTAACACTGCTGTGATTTGTAGACATCACTATTTAATGAAGCACACAGCTGTGTAAGATGAGCAGGAGGTGGAGTTTGGCAATGAAGGGCCAGCAGGAAATCTGGCAACCCATGTCATCTGGAATTTCCCTGACTCTGTTGAGTCACCCCTCCTTCCATCACCCTCCTCTAGATCAACCTTCAGGCACTCTCTGAGATGACCATTTTAATCACATAAATAACTGTGTAGAGAAATTGCAGTGTACGTCATGCACTTTAACACATCTTTAGCAAGTATATTTTTGTAAGTCCAGGAACTATATTTGGACAAACCAGCAAGATAAATTAAGAAATGATCCAAAACTTCAACTAAAACAGTAATGGAAACATTGAAGGAAGCTAAAAAAAAAAAAAAGTCTATTTGGTTAACATTATAAATTACATATTTTAATTAATATCCCTGCCCTTTTCTATTTTAATTGCTAACATGTTTCCAAAGCAGGAATCTGAAAGGAGGAACCAAGTGGTGTCCTGTAAAGCTGAGTTTTGTAGCTGAGTTCAAATCCTAGCTCAGTCACATATTGATTATAAGATTCAGGCAAGTTATATTGCCTCTTTCAGCTATATTTTCCTCCTCTACAACATGGAGATAATATATATCCCCTAGACCTGGTAGGAGGGTTGCCTGACAATGTATACTTATAAGGGACACAGTGAAGGTATGTTTTCTCTTTTTCTTTTCTCTCCCCATGCCTTTCCCTAACACATACACAGACTTCTATGATTTAATAGCATAGTCCAAGTCTAGTGAAACATGGACCATTTTTGAACACATAATAAATTCAAATAATTACTTGACATCTGGAGTGTCACACAACACACTATTTTTGCTATTACTAAGTAAATGGTATGGTTACAGTGTCTTTAAATAACTCAAAACATTTATTGATAAATATGTTTATTCATTTATAAAATATTCCTATAAAGTATAAACAAGGTAATGCATGTCCATCTTTTCACTGAAGGAAAAGTGAGCAAAGGTTAAGTCATAAATCCATCTTCAAAGGAGAACTACAATCCTGAGTTATATATCCCTTACTGTAGCTTATCCAACTTATATTGCCTCTCATGTATGCCTCCTAAAGGGTCTGCTCAGGAATTATATATCAGAGAACAGGACTAATAATTTGCAGAAACATTTATTAAGGACAGTATAAAAGTAAAAAGAAACTGTAATTCTTTAAAAAAGCAAATAAAAAAGTTATCTTTACTACGTTTTCCATTAAGAATAAATAACATAAAACTCTCTTAAAGACAGATTTAACATAAAAATGAAGGAAAATTAAAGCTGTAATATTATACTTTGGTTTCGGATTTTTGGCTCTAATGTGGAAAAGAATGCAAAAAAAAATCATAAACAGGACAACAGAATGATGAAAGGATTAGACAGGAATATAACCTTAATGTTTGTTCTGTGAAGCAAAGCTATAATAAATTTACTAATTCAATTTTTTTGGAAAAAAAAAAAAGCTATTTAGGGGGCTGGGCGCGGTGGCTCAAGCCTGTAATCCCAGCACTTTGGGAGGCCAAGGCGGGTGGATCACGAGGTCAAGAGATAGAGACCATCCTGGTCAACATGGTGAAACCCCGTCTCTACTAAAAATACAAAAAATTAGCTGGGCATGGTGGTGCGTGCCTGTAATCCCAGCTACTCAGGAGGCTGAGGCAGGAGAATTGCCTGAACCCGGGAGGTGGAGGTTGCGGTGAGCCGAGATCGCGCCATTGCACTCCAGCCTGGGTAACAAGAGTGAAGCTCCGTCTCAAAAAAAAAAAAAAAAGAAAAAAAAAAAGCTATTTAGATTCAGAATAGAAAACCATCATAGTAATTTGTTCTAAAAGCAAACAAAATCATACCAAAAGGGGAAAGTAGTAATTTATTTAATATTGTGTCTTCCTTGTTCTCAAAAAAGCTGAGTAATAATTACATGCAAAAATTCATATTTCAGCTGATATACATTTAAATGATATACAAGAAAAATAATAAATCATAAGATAATGGATTAAAGTGAGATGATGAAACAAAACAGCAAAAACAAGAATGAATTTACGTCAGTATGGGGGATAATACTGAGGCATACCATAATAAAATCTATTTCACGTATGCAAGAGGATTGATTTTGGTGGAAACTGTGAAAAAACAAATTGACACTCTAAAATTCTTGAACATAAGGTAAGGGTTCTTAACTCTAGTGTTCTAACAGTGTCTCTGAGCCATGAAGCAATGTGTGGGTATAAAGAAGTCTATGAGGAATCATCATATTTTAAGTCTTATAAAAAATGAAAAATTTCCTTCCTTTGCATATATTTTTTAGTAGTTTAGGCAATGTTCATTACAGATTCTAGTAGAATAGTGGATAATGACAGAATTAATGAATGAAATCTGTGTCTCAGAGTGCCAGGTAGTTTTAGGAGTTCAAGACCCTGCCCAGTCTACTCTTAAAACACTTATACACCTGTAATCCCAGCACTTTGGGAGGCCGAGGAGGGTGGATCATGAGGTAAGGAGATCGAGACCATCCTGGCCAACTTGGTAAAATCCCATCTCTACTAAAAATACAAAAATTAATTGGACGTGGTGGCAGGCACCTGTAGTCCCAGCTACTCAGGAGGCTGAAGCAGGTGAATTGCTTGAACCTGGGAGGCAGAGGTTGCAATGAGCCGAGATTGCACCACTGCACTCCAGCCTGGCGACAGAGAGAGGCTGTGTCTCAAACAAAACAACACAAAACAAAACAAAACAACAACAAACCCTTGCATGGTTGCATGTGCTTCCCTTTATAGCCTGTCCCTTCACGGTCAGCAAACATGCTTTACAGGTCTATTTATGTCAGGTACCACCAGCCACTTGGGCATGCCATCTCTCAGTAAGGATATGTCATTTGAGGTTTTCCTCAGAAATTAGATGCATCCATTCCAGAGAAGAAATTAATCCACCAAATTGAATACTGCTGTATGCCAATCATACTGATTAGGTGTTGGCACAACCTGTATAAAGACCGAACCAAAAATCAGACTGTAGATAACAAACAAATGAGAAAACAGAAAGATAGATTTTGGTTTCTTTCAAACTGTTGTTCACAAAACAACAGGTTGATTTCCTTAAGTCAGTGTATTTCTCATGACTACTACTACTGGCAGAGAAATTGTTTGCTGAAACTGGTTCCAAGTTTGAAGTTAAAAGATTGTACAAATTGAATTCAATGGTAGTAAACCATTTTTAAGCTCTAGATGTTGTCAAGGCTGCTTTAAAAGATGATTTTTCACTCTGCTGATTGAGATCATAAAAACAACTTAGTGGGCTACAGTCAGCTTAAGAAAATAAAGAAGGAATAAAAAAACCATAGATGACCCTGAAATGTAATAAAATGCAATGGAACAACATGGAATATATCAGATTTCACTGCATGTAATATGAACAAGTATTGTTTTATGAAAATTTGGGATTCATCTTATAGATATTTGTATGTCTTTATGTATGTATGTCTACAATGCACAATGCCACATAAACAAGAGTATTTTTATTATAGCTAGTGATCAAAAATATTGGCAAGTCACTCTAAAAAATAGTTGAGGTCCATTTTAAATTAACAAGAAATATACATAAGTAACTTTTTTAAGGTCTAAGTTTAGGTGATATATTTGCCTTATTGATGTTTAATTTGTTATATTTGTGGTTATGATAGTTATGACATTAGTATTAATATTTAGAATAATTTTGTTTTTAAAAGTAATCATTTTCTAAGATAATAATCTAAATTTCAAATTAGCAGCATTCTGATTAGGAAGCTTTACTATGAAATATGTAAGAGAGCAAAAATTTGATTATACTATATATATATATATCTCCTTATCCTCTGACACAGTAAATGCATGTCTAGGATTATCTCCAAAAGAAAATTAGTAAAACAACAAAAATATACAAATGTATATAGATAATGACTATAGATCTGTTAATAATAGCAAAGAGTATGTAATTCACCTATAATTCCACATAAAAATTTAGGTTTATAATATTCTGACAAATCTACGTAGTACAATATCATATACAGTAATTAAAATGATTACTCTGTGACAAATTCAGAAAAATGCATATATGATTCATTTAAGTAATGTAATTTTATCGGTGCTGTGATTACAGATATGAAAATATTATGCAGGCATCTAGCTAGAGTTTGGAAGGGAAAAGAAAAATAGAAATATTTAATTTGCTGAAATAATAAAATAGTAGATGCTTTTTAAAATAATTCCACGTTTAACTAGTATTATTATAAAACTATACTACTAAAACTGATCATGTCTTACTGTGGTTCTAAAATCCACCCCATGTTGACAACAGTTACCAGCAAAGCTAAAATGCTTCATCTGTATATATACTGCTAAAATCTTCTGAAAATGAAGTAGCGAAAGAATACTTTTAAGGAATCATAACAAAATAATGCAAGACGTGTTATACAATTTGGGGCCTTTCAGCATGTACTAGAAATTACACAAAATACTGAAGATTCTTTCCCCTGGATTTGGTCTATCTGGGCTTTCCATTGAAGTATCAGAGATCTAGCGTCAGAAGGACTCTTGCCTTAGGCAATGTTACAAGTCCTCTCTCTGGCTCTCCCTTATCTATCAAACAAAACTAGCGATAACCTGTGTCCCTTGGTCTTAGAGTTTTAAGTTTGCCTGGCTGATACGTAGGATATAGCAAATTCTGAATCTGATTTACTGGTACTCGATGGAAAAAAGTATCCCCGCATCAGATGTATTGTTGGATGTCACAAGATGCAGAGAGACCACGGCAGCAGATGGAAAGAGTCTCCAAGGAAAAAAAAAAAGGAATTAAGAATTAAGTTTACTGCCTAGTGAGATGGCTCATACCTATAATCCCAGCATTTTGGAAGGCCAAGGCCAGCAGATCACGAGGTCAGCTGTTGAGAACAAGCTGGCCAACAGGGTGAAACCTCGTCTTTACTAGAAATAAAAAAGTTAGCTGAGCACGGTGGCAGGTTCCCTTATCCCACGGGAGACTGAGGCAGGAGAATCACTTGAACCCAGGAGGCGGAGGTTGCAGTGAGCAGGGATTGTATCATTGCACCCCAGCCTGGGTGACCATCCGTCTCAAAAAAAAAAAAAAAAAAAAAAGAAGTAAGTCTACAATGGCAAGCTGATCTCTCTCTCTTTTTTATTTTTATTTTTTGCTTAAATAATGTTTGCTGTAATTGTCATACTGTTCAACAACTGTTTGTATTTGTGGGAGATGGTGGGCTGGTAGAGCTGAAACCAGAGGGCAATTATAAATTAATACAATGTAATATAAAGGTTTTCTCCGTACTTAACATGCACAATTCAAAACAGAGTGGGAGAATTCCATACTTTGTTAGACATGGTATCTGCATGGGAACTACAGAATTAATAAATTTTTCCTTAATTTGTAAATCAGGTCAACGTCAGCCTTCTTTTTGGATATCCCAGTCCCTGAAGTGTCACAGGTGCTGTTGAAGAGTACCTGGCATTGTGAATTCACAGTAGGCTGACACTTTCTCCCACATATAATGAGCAATTGAAAGTGGCAAATGATCTCCTTTCAGCTCTAAGCCAGTGTTCCTTTCTACCTTTTGACATACAAAAAGTCTTAAACACACCTGGAGAAGTCAGGGTATTCCCTTCAGAAGATTTTTCTTTATCAAAGGTCTTGAAAACAACAGATTCCTTTTAAGCATTCTAAATATAAATGCATATCTTACACTACACATGTTCCTTAAAACTCCATATGCTCTCCCATTGACCAGAGGTTCTGATCTGGGATGGGAGGTGGGCACTGTGTAGGTGAGAACGGCTGCTCTGTCCTCAGGGGCAACTTCAGGTATCATCAGGAAATGTTTTAGGCATTACCAACCATAAGCTAAATAACCATGAATTAAAAGAATTGAGTAAGAATGAAAAGAAAAAGAATTGAATAAGAATGAAAAGGAAAAGAATAAAAATGAAAAGCACTGAAATTAAGAAAAAACTCAAAGTTAGTCATTACTTGCTATGCACTAAACACTGGGCATTATCTCGTTTAAACTTTACACTAATCCTATAGCATAGGTCTATTATTATCCTCATGTTACATATGAAGAAACTGAGGCTCAGAGTGGTTAGGCAATTTGCTTGTAGGACATATCCAGTAAGAGGAGCTGAGGTCATACTCGTTCTGACACAAAGTCTAAGCTCTTAAGTCTATGCTACACGGCTTCTCAGATGGCTTGAGCACTGAAAACCCTAGGTTGTTACTTGCTAAATTAGGTTTTTAATGATGGCATGTTATCTATAAAAATATTATACAAACATAAAAAATATTAAGGAAAATCATATATCTGGGTAAATGTAAATTTAAAAATCATTGCATTTTACAAATATTTGGAACACGAGGTTTCTGTGATTTTTATGCTTCTCAAGAAGAAAGAAAGTGATAAACCACCTGTAGGCTTTTTT